GCGCGGGCTGTATGGGCTGCGCGCGGGCTAAACGGGCTGCGCATGAGCGGTGCGCGGACTGCGCGCGGCAGGGCAGGGCAGCGGGAAGGCACGGGGAAGGGCAGGGCAGGGCAGATTTTTTGGCAGTAACAACACTAAGTGGTGGGCCCTCTAAAAAACGGTCCTTATGAAGGACCCGCTCTATACCATGTCGAAACTAGCTAGGAGGAATGGTGATCCTTAGGTCAAGGGAGGGGTACAACAACAATATCGAGAGAAATTATGTACCCCCTAGTGCTAACACCCATATAGCCTACATAATATATAAGCATATATGTTTGACAATTCGGAAAGTCCTAACTATCCATGTACTCTACATTGTGCATTCCCTTATTACAGCGAGATTCAACCGTGCGGCGCAGGATTCCGTCTCAAACTGGTTCCCGCCTTTCCTTTTCAAATGTTTCAGCCTGCATCGGTCTTCATCCGACAACCGCTTCTGTCGCTTCGATTCGCTACTCGGTAGTGCTAGCTCCTATGCGTACATGAATGCTCTCTCATTTGAAACCCGAAGCCTGAATTACAAACAAAGTTGGAAGGTGTTAACACCTCCCCTCCCGAACCAGGGTGGTTACTAAGTCTCAACCTGCAAAATGTGATGAAAGTCACAGGGTCCATAGGGAAGGATCGCTGGGGTCTCACTCATGACCTGGCTGAGGTGTGCACAGCAATCTTCAGATTTGTAATTCAGGTCGTAAAAAAACGCAGAGTTCAAGGCCAAACTAGGGATCGTCATAGCACAGAAGAGATTCACCACGCCGAGTTCCACGCCGGTTTAGAGTTCCGCCTTACGCTCTGGGACCATGCCTTCATTCCAACGGGATCAGTCGCCCTTGCTGAGCCGCGCGCCTTACATCTCAGGAGTCTGCACGTAGCTAGCCATGCCCATTCACTGGGATGAGAGCGCTGTGGGAGAGAGTATGAGGGCGCCGTGGGAGAGAGTGTGAGGGCGTTGTGGAAGAGAGAAATGAGATGTGCGGTCGATGAAAAAGGGTAAGGCGGCCGACGAGAAGGGGATCTGCAGTCGACGGGCTCGCAAAATTTTGGCGATGGGATCGCCTATAGTTCGCGCATCGAAGAGGAAATGCGACTGAAACGACACGGAAATGTGGGTGAAGCGAAGGGGCGTCGCGGCCACGAATCGTAGGAGAAATGCGGGCAGGTCGACCGGGACCTGCGTATGACGGGTAGGGCATATTAGCGATACGGGAATGGCACGCTTGGGCGACGAAAATGCTAAATGCGGGCGACGGGAACACTAAATGCGGGCGTCGCCGGATTTCGGAACTGCACGCGCTGTAACCCTAAAATTGTGGGCGACGGGGCTTGAACCTGCGTGCGATGTATAGGGGAACGACGGATGGTACGCCGTCGTTTTAGTCGCATGGTGACATTTTCCTACTTGAAGTCTAACAGCTAAGCTTCTAGCCTGATGTAAGGTTTGTTGAAGTGCTTTTGTTCACTCTCATATAGCATATGCAGGCACATTCCCCTCTGAGTCGTTTGCTTGGTGCGACACCAGGTTGTCGCACTTTGTTTTCGCTAGGGTGCAACTTTCGTTAAACTTCTGAACCTGAGTTTGCGAGACCCCCAACCCAACTCAAACCTAGCGTTGACTCGCTTTTGTAATTCAGGCTGCGGGTTTTAATTGGTATTTCAACACCACCCTTCATTCCTGGGTGTAGCAGGTACCGACTCGTTCGACCACTCCGGTGAGGTTGGAGCAGTGCCGGTACTGCTCACGTGGCAGCACTTTTGTGAGAAAGTCAGTTGCTATGTTAGTGGTTCGGCAGTACGCCAGATCCACTTTCTCTTGGTGGCTTTCGTCCTTGACGAAGAAATACCACAGCGCGATGTGCTTCGTGTTGTTGACGTAGCCAGGCTTGTTCGGGATGTTGATCACGCTTTGATTGTCGCACTGGAGGCGAAATGTTGACGATGTTGAAGTTTCGCTTCTTGGAAGAGCTCTTGCAGATAGAGCCCTACGGGCACTGCAGCGGTTGTGGCGATGCATTCCGCTTCGGCTAGCGACATGGTAACCAGCTCCTGCATCTTGGGATTCCAAAAGATTAGTTATGTTGGCTCAAGGCAGAAAGCGAAGCCCGTTCGTGATCGTAGGTTGTCATGATAAGCGGCGTGTTCCGCGTCCACGTATCCAGCGATGTTGAAGGATGATGTTGTCAGAGTTAAGTAGAAGAGCCCAATGTACGGCGTGGAAATGAAGTACTGCAGGGCGCGCTCGAGGTCTAGCAAATTCTTTGCCGGTTGGCCTGCAGACGACGGAGGCGAACATCATGCAACCCAGTTGCTACTGGTAGAGATGGAGTCCTGCGGGTGACAGCGGTTTGTCGTCCAATTTGTGGTTGGCTCCTGGTGAGCCGTAAGGAGTTGGGGGTGGTGCTAGAGAAATCTTGAATCGCTCACTAGTGACTCGGCGTACTCAGAAGCTGAGAGATAAATTGTCGTGTAGGAGATATTGAGCCCCTGGAGGTACGCCGCGTTGTGATTGGTGGTGATGTCGACATGCAGCGCCAGGTTCCTCTCGAACTGGTCCAGCAGGGCATTGTCAACGTACACGGTCGGGAGAATATAGTCGTCGCAGAAATGGAGGCGGTACATTTGGGGGTCGTATGGTAGCTCCTTGAAGTCTATCTCCAGTAGAATCTTGTGCAGGTGCTGCTGCCATAGTCGCGATGCCTGCTTGATCCCGTAAAGGGACTTCTTTAGCTAGCAGGCTCTTGGGTCTCCTTCCCCGCAAGTGTGTGGCTGCTCGACAAAGATTGTGCGTCGGTACGTGTGTGGCTGCTCCACAAAGATTGTTGAATCGTATTCCCAAAATTTGAACGCTTGTGTATTCTTTCCTCCCTTCTCCCATTCTTGTCCTTCCCCACTTGCCCCAGGAACGTCTCAGGCACAGGGCTGACCTGCCCTACAGAGGGCAGCAAGTGTGTGGTGCAGCATAAAAACACCACTAGCTTCTACCGCCTCTGCGTCTCCTTCTGCTCCTCCTGCACGCCCCGTACATGTAAGTCCCTTTTCTACAACATTAGCACACACACGCACAAGAGCGATGCCACACCGACTCCAATGAAACCTTCCATAAGCAGCTGGTTCTCAGAATAGGTTTGCTTTGCAGAATATGATGTAACTACGTCCAATCTATATATGTGCCCTTATTCCAGTGCCAGCACCCACAAAAGCACCAGCGTCGGTTGAAGCGCCAGCATCAGCTGAAGCACTAGCATCCACTGGAGCCCAAGAGTTGGCTGCAGCTCCAACATCAGTTTTCACATCCTGGTTTTGTTGTCGGCGGAGAGATTTTTCCAAGAGGACCCAAGTGTGAAATGCCCAGGGTTCTCCTTATTGTAAGTGCCGTATGAGGTGGTGCGCTTCTAATTGAGTAGAAAACATAAGCATATGTAAAAATAGTTTAAGTTGAAGCTCTCAATAAGTTGTTGCCACTGTAGCTTATACCATTTGCCACGATGTGACTTGTCCCTGGCATTTAGGAGCTCACTTTCCTTGATCTCATGTCTCCCACACGTGGAGCTCATTTTGGAGCCCCCCACGCTCTTCTCTGAGCCTCTGAATGTGTCGAAACTCTCAGCCTGCCTGCGCACTGTCCGCATCAAGGAGTGCTAGAAGAGGAAAAGTGGTGGTGCGGTACCGCCATGATTTGCCCTTCATATTGAAAGGACTCATCTTCTTGACCCAGGTTTGTAAAAAAAAAGGGGTGTGTGGGTGCAGGGGCATTCCTAACCATACCATTGTATCGAATAGTGGATCTAAAGGCATATATTATAGTGATTGGGCTGTGGGGCTTGTGTCTCACCTCCCAGTGGTGCCATAAGACTTGGTGGTCTTCTTTGGTAGTATTAGGTGGTACCTTGATCCTACAGTGCCGTAGCAGGGCACGGGCGAGTTGCAAGTGGTGGGGGAGGGCAAAGGAAGGAGGGGTGCAAGGGGATGTGGGGTTGTGGGGTGCAATGAGAGGGTTACCAGGTCAGCTCGACACTGAGGTGGCGGAGGGGGAGGAGGATCTTGAGTGTGGGGCAGAGGCAGCTGCAGTGTCTGGTGCATGTGCTGCTATGGTGCTCACATGTGCGTGTGTTGGACGAGGCCACATCGAATGTGGAAATGGCGGAAGGCAGTCCAGGTAGTGGTGAGTGGGGGTACATTTGCTGCATGCACGGTGATCACCATTGCCCATCACCAGCACCCCATCACGAATTGCCACAGGGTCATGCTGCTGGCAGACAGATAGTTGCGGGGCTTACTCCGCCGCAAGCATTGCTGGTAGGAAAGGTCGTCGAGGTTCTCGGCCATTTCGGATGGCCAAGCCAAGGGAAGCTGCTGCGTGTAACACATTGCATCAGCGAAGTCAGTGGTGACGAATTAGGGATGGATATTATGCCTAATGTCTAGTAAGGCGTGAAGGATAAGGAGAGAGACTGGAGTGAGGGAAGAGGGAGTGGTTGGCCAGTAATGCACCATGAATGTGCATATGTATATTACTTTCTATAACCTCTGATTGTCAAATCCATAGGAGTAATACATGGACCCTGATACGCATGCACACTGCACTTGTTTCTGACTGAGTTGGTTCCGACTATTCGGATAGGAGAGCTTATAAAACAACTAATGTCACAGAATAATACGTACAACTAAAATCCACAAAACAGATGGAACTTCCCATTTGTATATGGCATGCCATTCTAGCTGCATACTTATTTATTTACGTAGGCTATCTTGTATACCTGACCATTGTACAAGGTGATTAATATTCCTAAACCCCCACCCAGAAGTGACTCCACAGCACAATCCCTCATCACATGAAATCGCTTCCATCGCTGTTCTCGTGTTCACCCATGCGCCATGCAGCGGCATACATACAATCCGCGGAGTGAATATCGGAGGTGATATAGTCCTCTGTGCGCCCATCCAGGAATCCCCTGCCACTCTCACTCTCCACCTCCACTAGCTCGCGCAGCAGGCGGGTCAGCAGGCGGTACCGCAGCGAGCGCACCTTGCGGGATTCCTCGGCTCAAAAGGTCTGACCCAGCAGGCCGTGAATGCCGCTCGTGTGCTGCACAAAGGAGGGAAAGAGGGAACGACAGGAAGGGGGGTAGGGAGGAGATGGGGTTGCGTGGGACAAAATGACAAAAAGGGTACCATCACAAGGATGGTTAACATGGCAACACCGGCCCGGCACAGCACAGCCAGCACAGAGCGAACAATCAGAAGGTTGCTCACATTGAGCCGGGCGATGTGCACGTTGAAATGCGCCTGGGCTTCCTTAGCTGTCTGCATGAGCGGATGTGCCAAACGCGCTGATATGCCCATGTCCACCACGCCATCGATCGTGAGATGAAACTCGTCCTCGTCCTTTCCCTTGCAGCTCTTTGTTTCCGCCAGCAGCAGCTTGAACCCGCCGCTGCCAACGATGAAAGAGCCTTCGGACAGAGGCGGGGCCACCGGCGAGCCGTCGAGCTCCAGTCGGTTGATGAACCCGCTGCTGCCCCTCCCTTGCTCCTTGCCATCTCGCGCCTTAAAGAATGCCGAGTGTTGTGTGCCAGTCGAATCACGCCACATCACTTGAAGCTCCCTGGAAGGCACAAAGCATGAAGGGTAGTGCAGCAAAGAAGAAAAAGTGAGTCTTATAACGACTCTTGCAGTCTACAAGCACGGCGCATGCGATGGCTACGACTACATGGCGCATCGCATCATGTACAAGCACAGTGTTGCATACCTGATCCAGCTGCGAATCGGCTTTTGTTTCAGAAGCCTCGCCTTCAGCTCATGCTTCGCATACTGAATTGAATGCTGCTCCTTCTCTTCCCCTTCACCCCTGGAGCCTTCTTCGCCACTGCGACGACCCGTCTCTCTGTCAAGCGCCGCCTCCACCTCAGCAGTCAACGGCAGGCTCCCATTGGCCCGCATTTTCTCCAGCTTGCTCAGTTCCTCCACGCTCAGCCGTTCTTGTTCCAGCTGCCTGATATGACGTGGCTTCTTCTCATTGGCCGCTGCTTCCACCGCTGCAGCGAGCGACTCTTCGTCCAACGATGTCGCCGTGCCAGGGAGATTCGCGATGGGCTGGTATCCCTTGATTGCCATGTTGATGTGGATCCGACGGTCGGAAACCAAGCAAAAGGAGCGGTCGAGGAGGCCGTTGAAGTCGTATTGCGTGCCATCTGCGCCCCGGAAATGCGGATCGTCGGCCGTGCTGGCAGGGGGGTTGCACTCGCCACCCAGGAACGTTGGGAGAATGGCTATGTCCCAGTTTCGCACGGTGATGCCTGCCAATGAGCCCAGCAACGTGCATTGGCCACTGCGTGGTGTCACGGGGAGGGGGATAAGAAGTTAGCTGGCGGTTATAAGAATATAGTTTTGAGAGGGGAAGCGGAGGCGTTGACAAGTCACACGAAAAGCATTCTGAACTGAAGGAAAGAAGCTTGTCACACGGTGTGAGGGAAAGTACTCCAGTCAATCATTGACATGGATAACGAATATCAGTGATGATGCTTACATCTCGCCATTCATTGAAGGTTTCAAATGCCAGAACCTGCAGCCCACCTTCTCATCGCACTTCTGACAGCAATCCACAAACTGCCAAGAGGAGAGGGGGTTATAAGAATATAGTTTTGAAAATATAGTTTTGAGAGGGGAAGCGGAGGCGTTGACAAGTCACACGAAAAGCATTCTGAACTGAAGGAAAGAAGCTTGTCACACGGTGTGAGGGAAAGTACTCCAGTCAATCATTGACATGGATAACGAATATCAGTGATGATGCTTACATCTCGCCATTCATTGAAGGTTTCAAATGCCAGAACCTGCAGCCCACCTTCTCATCGCACTTCTGACAGCAATCCACAAACTGCCAAGAGGAGAGACGGGAAAATACGGGGGCAGGTTAAAACAGAAGGTATACAGCCTCACCTTCTCGCGTTCTCATTGAACTGTAGATGCGCCCCCGAGCGGAACGGAGAAAACGCAGCCATGCGATATTGGCGGTGGACAATAAATGAGGGAAGGCACGACGGAACGCGTGACGGAACGCAGCCTTGCGATATTGGGGCTTATTGAATTATTACCCCGGTTGAATCCAAGGAGCCTACGACATTTGCGGCGGCAGGGTCGAGAACGTAGCGCTCATAGTTGTAGTTCCCAAGAATGTGGTGCGGTCCGGACGCCCTCGTGTCTTTTGGATTATTTATGTAGTACCCCAGCTTAAGCTTGTTGCATCTCTTGTAACATCCGCGAGGTTGTGTCAAGGGGCCGTGCGGTTTGTCCTCGTCACAATGCTTTGCTACCGTCGGAGAAGGTGCTCCCAGAAGCACCGCGGCGAAGAAAACCAGGAGCCACGAAGTCGCTCCCGCGGCACTTCTGCCAATGGCGAAACAACCCGAAGAGCCACGTGTTTTCATGTTTTGCTTCGGTCTCAGAACAAGGAAGTGCTGGAGGCTCCTTGCGGAACAGGATGGCGAGTAAGTCGCTTGGATGCAGGACCGTCCAGTGAACAACTGCTACCCAGCAAGAAGCTTTATGGGGTGTCAGGTGACTTTATTCAAATCAAGAAAGTTATAAAATTGACATGAGCATCAACGCATCGCGGATTTGCGAACCGGGTGGAATTGTTTTTTCGTACAGTACACGATCTCTGAGCAGTGGTGTGGGTTCAGGGAAGGCAACTCACTGTCAGATGAGCCACGTCGGATCAGATTGGCTTGACTTCACGCTCGATGACAAAAGTCATGCGAATTCTTCCATTCGATGAGGACCTGTCAAGGGCTTGACTTGGCAATGTCACTCCAGAATCTCAATCAAATGCGGGAAACGAATTCCCTAGATTGAAGGGGTTGGCGGAGTATTCTTTTGATCCTTTGTTGTCTGCTAAGCCGACACCCATTTCGGATCATTGTCATCCATTTTCCCTCCCCATAGCGAGCCAACTTCGAGACTCACGATGGTCCAACGTCGTGTCAGCTGTGCTAGACCTTAGGTCTGCGAGCCCCAATTGACCCTTGTTATCTTTCTGCAGGGCGGACAATGGGTGGGACGGGGTATCTGACCCTTCACCAGGACGAAGAAGCAGAGAACTGGAAATCTGGTGGGAAATTTGTCATTTGAGTGTTCAGGACCTCAAACAAGAAATTTCACGATCATGGCGTTTCCCGGCTTGGAGTGCGGGAGCGAAAATGGGACGTCAGCGCAGGCTGCTGTTTGTCGTCTTTCCCCATGACGTGATTTCATGACTTCCACCTCACGACCAGGCATGAAACTTTGCGCGAGGGTGTTTCCTTACAGCACTATTCTTGACTCATAATCTTTCAGACGTATACCCATTCTGTGCTAAGGGCGGGTCATACTTTTTTGTTCCAGGTTCGTTTTGAATGGTTCATCCTGGTGCGCGATGGTCTAATGCGGTGAACAACCGAAACCGTGCCGAAACGTAGTTTAACGTATTTAACCACGTCGAGCGAGCCCATAACAAAAGAGTATGACCCGCCCTAATCATCTTCTGAACATGATTTCGTGACCTTCTTAGGACTTGGTCTTTATCGACGTATTTGCACTGTCACCTTCTTTCGTATTTGTACTACCGCCATCGACGGGGAATATCGCGGATTCGACAGGAGGAAACTGAGAATGAAAAACAGGTGGTACTGAAGACCAGGCAGATGCAACGGGTGTGACAGAGTGACGAGAGAACCATGTATTCACGAAGCTTTACGACAAGCTGTAACCGCTAGGGCGATGTACACGTATTCGTTTGAATTCCAACACCAGCACAAGGCATGTGCAAAAACATAACACAACAGTATCCTGGATGTGCAGGTCTCAGACGAGCCAAACAGAATTTGAATGTTGACCAATGGAATGACGACCCACGCGGAAAACCTGACTGGGACTGTTCTGCGCATTTGTTTGACGTTATCCTGGTGCGTTATGCACATCTTCAAGTACGCCCTAGATAGACGACTACACAACGCTGGCTAGCATAACCCGACAATAGTCCATCTAAGAAGTCATTGTTTCAATTCTGTATTCTTGATGCCACATAATATGTTCGAACTCTCTCATCCGGTATGGTAGTGAATTTTATAAGGATCGTGTTCTCTCTTTTTCAGTTCGTTATCTTTTCCTCCAGCAGACTAAACCAAACGAAGGCACTGTCCCATAGGGAAATCTCTTCCATGAACTAGCGACCCGGCTTATGCCCCATACCTTTGTTGTATCACATTTAAAAGATTAGTTCAGCTGCATATACAATCACAGTGTAGAGTATAGTATCTAGTCATATTTGGTATTGGGGCAGCGACAGGCTGCCGCTAATTAGTTTACTACTACCGGTACCTAATATCCAAGCACATCCCTTGCAAGGTCCATGAGAGCTCGCAGTCACAGCCCAATGAACTTGCGTGCAAAGAGCCAGCACGTGGCATTCTCCACACTTACTGTACATCGGCGGTTGGACATGACAAACTGCTGCGACTCCTTGGGCAGCAGAAACATGGGTTGCGAGTAGGGCCGCTTCTGGTTCTCATGCCACTCCTCCTGAATGCTCCGAATCGACTCGGGCGGGATGTCCCGCGGGAGGTATGTGTGTGGGTGGCCTGTTTTTCGCTGCCACTCAACGCTCATGACATTGCGGTTGGCGACTTGTGTCACAAAGTAGGAAACGAGAATGAAACAGAGAATGAGAGTTTCGCTAGCATGCAGTTGAGTACATATAGCAAACCCTAACAGGGCTGTACTCACTATAGAGTGTCAACGGGAGTTGTTGTTGGCCCCGTCCTCGCTTGGGCGGAACCGACTTCGTGGTTGGGTGTACGGGAGGTACAGCCGACTTGCAGCAGTGGGCGACGCCGACTTGGGCGAGCTGGTCGACGGGGTTGGTCGACTTGCACAGGGCCACTGCAATGCCGCCGACATGGGAAGCCGGCGGCCGACTTCAACTGGTGGTCGGCGATGTGGCACGTCGACCTGGAAGTCGGCGCCGACTTGCAAGGTCGCCGACTTGCAAGGTCACCGACTTGCAAGGTCACCGACTTGCAAGGTCGCCGACTTGCACACGCCGGCCCGGAAGTCGGCACCAATGTAGAAGGGGCGTCGACTTGGTGACGCCGACTTCAGGTAGCCGACTTGGGTGGTCGGCTAACAATTGTGCTGGTCAACGTGGAGCTGGTCGACCAGGAGTGACGTCGACCTGGAGCTGGTCGACCAGGGGTGTGGTCGACCTGGTGAGGTCGACTTGGAAGTGGCCGTCGACTTGGGAGGTCGACGGGCACGTACGGGAGCAGCTGGTCGACGTGGTTGCCCGGTCGACCATGTTACCTGGGTGACGAGGTTCTGCGGAGGAGAGCGACGGTCGCCCAGGCGAAGATGGCGAGCCCGACCTCGGTGGTGGTATCGCGAGGTCGACGTGGCTGATCAGAAGCAGTCATCAGCACCAGTTTGACTTGGTGTGTGCGTTGTGCAGCCCGCCAATCATCTGCAAGCACCTGCGAAGCGGGTGCGCTGCTGTTCTGCGTGAGCAGCGCTGGCACGCCGTCAACCTGCGACGTTGGCACGCCGTCGACTTTGCACTGCTGGAGCGCGGTCGACCAAGTCGTGCTGGAACGCGGTCGACCATGCTGCGCTGGCAGTCGACCGACCTGAATGCTAGCTCTGATGTAGTCTTGCCATGCCAATTTCATTGTACCATTGTTGTCAACTTTCTCTAGTGAAACTCTTGCCAATTCTCCCCGTGAACTAGTAAGCTATATGTGCACTAGGAAAACGACTAAGGACCAACGAACGCAGAGATCACACGAGAACCCATGCCAAGCCCGTAGTCTAGCTCCCGTTGTAGTAGTTATCTCCGCATAGAGTACCCCACTGCAGACTAGAGAAATATAACATTCTGACACACCCCCATAGCCAAAGTGGGGTATAATCAGCACAGCAAGCAGTCACAGAGCAGGTTCACAAGTTCAAGCAAAGCTAGAGGCAGTCACAGAGGGCAAGTGAGGAGGAGGAGGGACTGTGAGAGGAGAGGAGATGGGAGGCGACGGCGGAAGCAACAGACACACTGGAGCGGCTAGCTCAGTGGCTACCGAAGCAATGGCCCGGACTTCAGGAGTAACTGGCTCCGCGGCTACGCCGAGCGGCTGGAGCAACTGACCCACGGGCGACTGGCGACTACCGGAGATTGTAGCCTCCGGACTACTGGCGCTGCTGGCGACACGACGGCAACCTCCGCTCAACCTCCCCCAACTGTCCCACCCCCCTTTCACACACCCCTTGCTGCACCCCTAGCTCCACTCCCATGTCACCCCCCTAGCACCACTCCCTCGGCTCCCACACACCCACCCCCCTCAGCGGCAGCTGCAGCAGTGGGGAACGGTGGAGGAGGAGGAGCAGGGGACGGTTCACACACCCGCCACCCCCATACCCGCCACCCCCACACCCCAAACGCAGGCGGCGTGGGGCAGAAACGCGGGCAGCAGTTGGGGCAGAAACGCGGGCAGCAGTTGGGGCGGCGTGCGAGCAGAACCGGGGCAGTGCGCGGGCCCCCGGGGCGCCGCGACGGGTGACGGGAGGGGGCGATGCGCGGCCCCCCAGGGCGCCGCGACGGGCGACGGGTAGGGGAGCGCGCGGGCCCCCGGGGCGCCACGACAGCTGACGGGAGGGGGGGGGGCGACGCGCGGGCCCCCAAGGCGCCGCGACGGGCGACGGGTAGGGCAGCGCGCGGGCCCCCAGGGCGCCGCCTCAGGCAACGGGAGGGGGGGGGGGACGCGCGGGCCCCCAGGGCGCCGCGACGGGCGACGGGTAGGGCAGCGCGCGGGTCCCCGGGGCGCCGCGACGGGCGACGGGAGGGGACGACGCGCGGGCCCCCGGGGCGCCGCGACGGCGGGCAGGGCGTGTGGCGGGCAGAAAACTGCCGCGCGCCCCGAGTGCGCGGCGGGAAGAAAAAAACGCTGCACGCCAGGAGCGCGCGGCAAGCAGAAAACGTCGC